TGTTTTGGTGGAATCTCTTTTCCTACAATTTGAATCCATTGTTCCATGGCCTAGCAGAAAACAAGCTTGCCCGTCCTCAATGGGACATCCTTTCAAATATTTAAACATGGCTATCATGTCCCCTCTCAGCCTTCTTTTTTCCAGGCTAAATATACCAAGTTTGGAAGCCATTCTTCATAGGGCTTGGCTTCCAAACCTTTGATTATTTTGGTTGCCCTTCTTTGGACATGTTCTAGCTTGTCAATTTCTATTTTGTTAATTTCACAGCACTCCCTCCCTCCACCTGTGATAGCAACTACTCATGCTTCCATTTGTCATTCCTTGTGTGTGTGTGAGTGTGATCTACTCTGTGACGGCCTGCCTTGTGGTTTTCCCCTCTCTTTCTGCCCTTCCCTATGCCATCTTCGCATTGCATTTGACAGAGAAGGTAAGTAGGCTGGGGAAATAATAACCTGCCCAGGAACAAAAGTATGGAGAATGATCTAGGAGGCACTTACCTAGATTGTATCAATACAATTATAGTGTCTAGATTGAGGAAAGACTATGGTGCTTTGGTTAGACCTCACTTGGAGTACTGTGTCCAATTCTGGGCATACAATTCAAAAAGGATATTGACAAGGTGGTATATGTCTAGAGAAGGGTGACCAAAATGGTCAGAATTGTGAAAACCAAGCCCTATGAGGAACTGCTTCAGGAGCTGGGTATTGGTCAACTATTGGTTTGCATCACAGGAAAAATGGGCCTTGTTTCTACCGGCAGATTTCACTGTATCATAGGAACTGTTTACTCATGGCCAGGAAATTGATATAACAGTCTGTAAAAGTTCTGAAAATGTTTAACTTTTTTGTTTATTTAACATGAAACATTTTATTGTTTTATGATGGGAAGGAAGCAAAATTGGTGGGAAGTAAAGCATATCTCAGCATCAGATTTTAAAACCTTAGAAAAGTCAATTACACCGTGAGCTCAATTGCAATCAATAGACGAATCTAGAGATTACATCTAGCTGTTTCCAAAGAACAAATATTAAACAAAAAAGAAAAAATGAAGGACACACACAGCAATTAATTACATCAATATAGGAGTTTCCTTCATAGCATAGTTTTTACATTACTGTTAGATTGCTGACTTATCTAAATGAGATAAGCAGGGTTCTTTCTAGTCTTGTGCATTTGTATAGAATTGCCATCCATTTTGGTTTGTTTCATTTGTATGGCCTTGTTTTCGTTTTTGAGCACTGCTTCAAAAACAGGGGCCTTTCAGAATGAGTTATTTTGTTCTTTCGTCCAAATAAACAAAAAGTTTTGGACCACTGACCTTAAAGGCAGGGCTTAAGATACCACTGATTCTGAGAGGCTTCCCTCTGGATATGCAGAGGAGACCCGAAGTTAAAGGCAGGGCTTAAGATCCCACTGATTCTGAGACATATCCCTCTGGATATGCAGAGGAGACCTATAGCCTGGCGACAGGCCCGTAGCCAGGATTTCGTTTTGGGGGGGGGGGGCTGAATTTTTTTCAGGGGGGGTTTCGGGGGGGGCTGAGTTTCGGGGGGGGCTGAGTCTGAGTGAAAGAGGGTCTAGCCTAGCAAACCTTTTGTATCATTACCCCAATACCCCATGCATATGGGATATATTGAGTATGGTGATCAGATCATGATATGAATAAACATAACAGTTTAAATAATGCACCATTAAGGCCTTTTCGCGAACCACCATGAAAATTTGGGGGGGGGGGGCTGAAGCCCCCGAGCCCCCCCCCCCCCCCCGGCTACATGCCTGCCTGGGACACAGATCCTTCTCCTCTTCTGACACATGCAGAAGAACTCCCTGGGCTTCGTGAGGAAAGCCAAGTGGCCCAAAAGCCAAGCAGCCTGAAAACCAGGATGCCCAAAAACCAAACAAGGAAATGGAAACTGAGCAACTTTCTCTTTTGTTTAATCCAAAAATGGGTTTTTGTTTCATGCCTTCCAAATGGACAGTACGAAACAAATACCTGAATGAAACAAATGAAACAAATATTGCACACCAGTCTAGTTCTTTCTCCCTCATCACAGGCTGCCGAAAGTGTCCCAAGTCGCTTTGCTACGGGGCATGCAGATGCCACCTCCCTTGCCCACATCACCGGGCTCCTCTGGCAGCTGTTCTCATGGAGGAAGCATGGTACATGCGTGGAGAGCATGGCTTCACCCGTGAAAGTAAATGGCAACATGGGAAGCCTCCCATGTTGCCGTGGCAGCAGGTCAGTTCTGTGCTCCTTCACCCATGGAGTCAGCACGACATTGTATGATGGGAGCCAGCCGCCTCCCTGGGTAACTGTGGCTAAATCGGCACATGCCACCGATTTTAACCTCATGTAACTAGACTGTGTGACAATATATCCCTATACACTGTGGTAACATTTTTGTGAATTTGGTTCTCATAAATGGTTTAAATGGTGTAAGTGGAAATAAATGCCACCAGAAAGTGGAGAGAAGCCAGGGCCATTAGGATGAACCAGTAAACAGTGAGGCAGCTGCCTGGGGGGTGTTCTAAACAGGCCCAAAACCCGCAGCCCATCACAGGTTAACTTGAGACATCCAAACTGGGATTTCAGTTTAATCTAAATTAATTTAATATCTGGAAAGATCTGAACCTTAAGGTAATCCTGTGGGAATTTCTTCTGCAATCCCAGGGGCAATCCCCACAGCCATCCCACTTCTTTGGGAAATCCCCCCCCCCCACCTCAGAATGTGTCATTTTTGCACACGAGGAATACTCTTCACAGGGGCCTCCACTGCTGGCAGGCCCCTTGAATAAGTTTTGGAGATGAATGGGGGGTTGGGGGGTTGGAGGGAAACTGGATGCCATCACACTCCAGAAAAACTAGCAAAATATAGCAAGGGTAAGATTGATAAAAAAATGCTAGAGGTGTGAGAAGAAAGTGGGTATGTTTAAGCACATGTGGTGGGAGTGCAAAGTTATTAAAAAGTTCTGGTTTGAATGTATAAAACATTAGGAGAAATTTTTGAACTAAACTATGAATTTAAACTGGAATATTTTTTTGTAAGGAATGACTGACCTTAATTTGAACAAAAATGATGACAATTTTTTTTAACCTAACAACGGCAGCGAGGATTTGCATAGCCCGCGAATGGAAAAACAAGGATACAGCAACTTTTAATTCTTGGATTCGTAAGGCTATGGACATCATGAGTATGGATTTGTTAACTCAGAAAATAAGACAAAACAGAATAATAGTTAATAATACAGACTGGAACAGCAGTGGAACTCTCTGCCCCACAGTGTGGTGGAGACTTTTAAACAGAGATTGGATGGCCATGTGTAGGGGGGTGCTTTTAATGCAACTTTCCTGCTTCTTGGCAGGGGTTTGGACTGGATGGCCCACAAGGTCTCTTCTAATTCCATGATTCTATGAATCTATGAATCTAAGAAAAGATGTCTGTTCTCAGCATCAGTCCTGGGAGTATACAGTCACTTCTTAACATTTCCCAGTTTGATGATTGAGGATTTGATTGTCCACAGATTAGATGGAAAGGCTCTTTCTAGAAATATCTAGGTCTTCCAGCACGGTTCTGTTGGAAGTTGACCACAGAGCTGTGCTGGAAAGCATAGAAATTCCTATAGAGCTGTCCTTTCAGGTTAAAAAAGATGTTTTATTCGTTTTTCCATTTTCACGGGGGTCATGTGCCCCAAACCCAGCAAATGTGGAGGGCTGACTGTAGTAGTACATATGCACAGGTGAATCATCTTAGATTCACTTTTGACCACAAAGTATGTCTTCCCACTTTCCCAGAACTTCTCATGTGCAGTATAGAACATATTAATACATCATGATACATCATGATGTATGAATATGGTCTATACTGCACATGAGATGTCCATGATACATCAACCTTGCATGGGCTCCAAAAAAGGTCCATATTTTATGTGTTCTAATAATTCTCTGATGTGAGACCAAATTCATTATCACATTAGTAAATCTATAAGACAGATGGGAATCATGGACAGGAACGATAAAGGCAATGTATTTACCTATGAGTGTGTGGTTGTTGTAAATAAAAGGAGGAAGCATTAAACACTTCATCCAGATGTGAAGCCAGTGATGCTTGACAGCTGTTGTTAAGTATTTGTATAGATTGTTTGGTTACCAGATGGCTTCAGAAAGGCACACTTAGGCCTAAACAAGCTTATACGAGGATTATATGCTGCCCACCTTATGCTTGCATTTCAGTTTGTAGCTTGTGAAATATACAGGTGACACCCAGTTTATCTTCATAAAGCAGGACCTTTGGATGAACAGATGGAACATGCAAGATTTTCTCTGATACCAATTAGGCAAAGATGGGATTATTTAATATCTATTAACATGGGTTTAAAAAACAACTTTGCAACTGGGCCCCAAATGGTTCAGTTTGTATATGTCTGTCTACCATAATTTGGGCGTTTTTCTATCATTATAGGCTGCTGGTCTTAGTCTGTGGCACAATTCATACTGCATCTCATCAATTAGAGACTCCGATTGTAATTGTGCCTGAGAGCCCTTTCAACACTTTTTGTTTAATGTTGAAAACTGAGGGCAGATTCCTTATCATTTGGCACTTCATCTCAGGCAGCAACATGCCTTAGGTAAACATACCAAAGGACTTTTTAATATTTAAACTTGCTGCTGCTTTTACAGAGCCGTTCCTAGTTTTATGCTTCAGTTATACAACCTTGGTTGTAATCAGTAGAGAAAAAAGAGGCTGATGTAAACATGTAAAAAAACAATGTCTAACAGAAAATAGCTGTGATTCCCCTCCAGTCTGACTATGTATGTTCAACATTGGTCTGGATATTCTAATCTGAGTCAAGAAAGAAATTGATTAGAAAATTCTCCCAGATGGTAGTCATTGCCTGTTTCTTATTTTACCCCTTTTCCTCTGAATTGTTTGAGGCAAATCTCATATTACTTGAAGTGACATCAAGAAGGAGGAGGAGTCGGTAATGTCATAAACTCAGCCTAATCATATAAATACCTTTCCCTCTGAAGATCTCAATCAATTGCTTATTGAAGAGGATCATTCTTAAAATCCAAGAAAAAACAATGAAAGTAACTTGCATATTCCTCCTCTTTGCGGTGGGGATTTTCTGTTATTCAGGTAAGACAATATATAATTATCCTCTCCTCCTCCTCATGACAAATCTTATACAAAATAGACTGTTGGTTGATAGGAATGAGTTGCATTTCAGGCCAGAGAAATATACTGCAAATAGGAAAGCCAACAATGATATGGGACTCTGAGATAACAAAAAAGAGAAGGGAAAGAACCACATGAAACATTGATGAGGATCTAGAAGACAAATATATAAAAAGTAAGACTTGGTTTCTGAACACAGACAACTATTTAGATATTAGCTTGAAACAGGTCATTCCTGAGCCTGAGAAGATATATTTGGCTGTTAACGAGATTACCAAATATTACACAGTGAGGAAATCAGTTTGCAAAAATTATAATCTTTCAACCATGGGAAATTGCATTCAATTACACATGGGATGCAAATAATGATTTATAAGTAGATAAAAACAATTGGGACAACCATCGAGCTAGCTCTACATCTTCCAACTTAAAAAAAAAAATGATTGAGAAAGGGAACTAAAAAGAAGAATAAAACACCTTCATGCCAATGTACCTGGGCTGGGTGTGTTGTGCTGAAATTTATTCACAGTAACTTTATCTGAAGGATATATTGTGTTATTTTTTGACATTTCCCTCTTCATATCTACAATTCCCTGTGTACTTAAAAGGCTGAAATAACTACAGAATAGTGTAGAACATGGACTTGGAGATTCAAAGAGAAAGCAGACTTGGTAAATTATCCTCTCCATTTCCTATAGTCCCAAAGGATTTTAAGCTCAGAAAACCTCAATCTAGTTAGAGTATCTATGGTCATTGGCCAGGGGTGAGGAACATCTAGCCTTTAACATGTCATTGAACCACATTTCCCATCAGCCCTGACCATCTGACGATGAATGATGTAGTCCACAACATCCAAAGGGACACACAGTCTTTGTCCTTTCCATAAGCCTTGGTAAATGTATAATGCATTTGTAATATTCTTGTTTGTTTGTTTGTTTGTTTGTTTTAGCCAATGCAGAAATTGGTGCCAGTGATGAAAAAGAGGTAAAGGAGTTTTGATTATTTAATCTGCAATGCCTTCTCCCTTGATTAAATAATACCCAGAAATTGTGTTATATACAGAAAATCAGATACTGGACTCAATTATACCAAATGATAAACTGAAAGCCACAACTTAATTTTTGCTACTGAGAAGGCAATATTGAAATCATTGTGCCATAGTGCTTTTTATGCTTCTTTACCTAGGAACCAAGCATAGAATTCAAAAGCTTTCACATTGTTAGCATTAGCAACATGATTAGGGTTCTCAGGTGAAAACAGGGCAGGTCTCTTGTACCTTAATAATTGTGTAGAAAAGGGCATTTCAGCAGATGTTGTTTGTCACTGAAAGTCATCACAGCTGAAATTTCCTCTACTGCACAGTCATTAAGACATAAGAGACCTGCCTTGTTTTTCCCCTGGCAAACCTAACTGTCATTTCAGTGCAAATACTATTGGAAAATCCAAAAATGCCAACAGCACTTTTCATTCAAATTGACAAAGCAATTGCAGAAGTTTCCATCTCCATTGATGCAGGTCTTTTTATAAAATGAATGCTTCTCAAAAGCCCTCTCAAAACAAAGGGCTTGTCTATGAGAACTAAAAACCCTGGGCTCACCATGAATGGAAGGTGGGGGCAGTCTTCATGATGCACAGCTCCTTCTGTTAAGTATCCCAGGCTTTTTAGCTTTGAACTGGCTTTGTATCACTTTGGGCAAAGTTGGAGATACTCCAGAGTTTGCCGAAAACTCCAGAGTATCCCACAGCTTTGGGACTGCCTGGACAATTGGATCAGGTCTGATCTGGCCTGATCTGCACCCAGATGAGTCACCAGCCCCATCACCCTTTGCCTATGCTCATCTGCACAGGGAATGGGAATAGATTGTAGCTGTGTCATTACTGCTTCCATGAGAGACCTTCTGGCCATCATGGGCACCTCTACTGATATCATAATAGGTCATCTTGTGCAAACAAGAAGGAGGAGGGGAAAACCCTCCCCCTTGTTCCCAATTGCATAGCAAGAGGCAACTGTACAGCCAGCTTCTTCCTTTTATTAGTAATCATGTTTTCAAAAATGGCTTCTTATGCGCTTAATAGTGCTGGGAGGAGGCAAAATGTGGGAAAAAAAATTCCCATGCTTCCAAAAGACATTTGGGGCCAGGAAATTGAAATATTTCTTATGCAGTATTCATACAATGCTTGTGTTTTATTTGATTCACTTGCTTTGATATTTCAAATCAACCCTTTTCTCCAGTATCAACATTGATTATAGATTACATTGATTATAGATTAATCTTAGTTTAAAGTAATGTTGATATGCGCAATGCTAAATTTTGAAGATTTTATTTTACAGCCAGTTTGTGAGCGTTACCATCCACCAGCATGCCCTAGAATTTACGATCCAATCTGTGGGACTGATGGAGTGACTTATGGCAATGAGTGTATCCTGTGTAATGAGAATAGGCAAGTATCTGTTTACTTCTATCATTTAAACCCTTAAAAAACAGAATGAGGTTTAGAGAGAAGTAATATGACTTGAAGCTATCTAAATACCCTAAGGCAGAATGAGGTTTAAAGAGAAATAATGTGACTTGATCTGGCAAGCTAAGCAGGGTCAGCCCTGGTTAGTATTTAGACTGGAGGTTGCCAACCCCACCTCCCCCAAGTACTGTTCGCTATATTTCAGAGGAAGAAAATGGGAAAACCTGATTTTGCCTTGACTAGGAAAAAACCCCAAAATTCATGGGGCCACCATAAATTAACAGGTGACATGAAGGCCCATGCAGTATATACAGTATGGCTTGGGGATAGTCTGAATAGGAGTGGCATAGGAGAGAAATAAAATGCCAAAGTTTTGTATCTGTTCCACAGAATAGATTATGATTTTGTGGGATAATACTTTAAGTGCATGGAGAATTGAGAGCTTTATGTATGAGGATGAGAATTTCAATTTTGACATGTTGCCAAATATTCTATAGTTTTGCTGATTCAATGATGCAAAATGAAGAAGAGGAGAAGACAGTGACAAGTAAATGAAAAAAGGGGAAGTAGTATGAACAATAAGAGAAGGAGAGGCCTCACTGCAAGACACCTATTTCTTGAATGCTTTGAGAGTCCAAGAGTATATACTATGGCACAGATTGTTTCCCAAATCCTCTCTCCCATAATTCCTTGGTTCAAGGGCCTTTGAAAAAAGGCATTCAAGAAATAATTAGGCACGGGTAGCCACTTCCTTCTCCCAGGATTTTATTGCAGAAATCCACCACTCCACCGCAGTTGCACAATCACTGATACCAGATACATACTGGCATGAGAACCTTCATTATTGCACCTTTCCCCATTTGCACAATGATGTGAACTCACCTATCTTTTAAAAAACAATTTGGTTTTTTAAAAAATAACTCTGGAATAATGAAGGAGAGGGGGAGAAGACTGTACCACCTCCTAACATCAGTGTCGGCACAGAAGCAGAATGTCCCCATCACACCAAGTAGATGACAGGAATGTTGTGGGATTAACAGCTATTGTTGGATTTTGCCAGTGAGCATGAGTGAATCACAGGAAGAAGGCAAACCAGCAGAGGAATACACATGATGTTCTACTTCAGTGCTGGTCTGCCTCCTTTGTGCAATAAAATCCCTAGTGGCTACTGTCTCTTTGCATAAGTGCAGAGGAAAAGTCAAAGTGCTCAATTAATAGGTGTACTGTTGTAGGATTCTGCTCACTGATTTTAAATACAGTGGAGCATTCAAGCAGAAGGTTCAGACAAGAAGTTGGAGCTGCAAGATTAGATGTAGGCAGAAAGTTGTAGATGTTATTAGCATATGGGTCTTACTGAAAGCCATGGGGTGACAAGAGTTCACCCAGAGACAGCGGAGTAATATATTAGAAATTCATTTAATTTTCTGGTTAATCAGCTACTGAGGTGGAGTGCTTACAGTGTCATCATCACTTCCTAATGTTAAAATGCAATCAGATCATGACGTAATTTATTTTCTCCAAAGTCCCTCTAACCATAACTCTGTCAAATAACCTACACATGAATTTTGAGGTTTAAGTATTAATTCAAGTGTCTTTCAATAAGTCCTTTATCTTTATTAAAGACAAAGAGACATGTAACAGTGGTTCTCTGTGGTTAGCATATTGTCCTGGGTAAGGTAATTAAGGTAAAAGACCTATTCTGTATTCCCTTTCTTTAACAACATGTAGGGTGGGTAGACTAGAAAATATCCTCTTTTTCATGACTCTGAGAACTTGAGGGTTTGTGCATGTAGGGTCAACTTGCATGCAGAAAAAAGTATGCCAAGACAGAACACCAAAATATGTAGGGTTTTTTTCCAATCTGGATTGGCCATGGTTCTGATTTGTCTAAGTAGATTTGGGCCTCTGAACCATGATAAATGCTGTAGCTCAGTGGTGGAGCCCAAAAGATCCCAGGTTTAGTTCTTGAGTCAGCTGTAAGCATCGGATGTTGGGGAGAAATCTTTGCCTAGATTCTACACATTATTAGGAAATATGCATATTAAAATATATACTATAAATATTAAATTACAATACTAATAAAACGTAGATTTAAAATTGGGAGTTTAAAATTAACTCATAGTTTAAATATGAGTTCCTTTCAGAGGAAGGGTGCTAATTGCTATAGTGGTTTCTGGGATCCACCCAAACACTGAGGAGGAAAAAGTTCCCTCTTCATTTCTTTCAGAAGCTAAATCATAGGCTTTTCAAAAGGATCAAACCCCATGCTTTTCCCCATAGCTTTTTAAAACTTCAAGCAGCTCTTCATGGGATAGGTCAATCAAATCATTGTTTCTGGTCATTTGCTAAGTCTCATTTTGGCAAATTGAACAAATGCAATTGTTAATCTCAACTAGAGTGGAACTATTAAATCAAAGGAATTTACAGCTTAACCACTTTAGTGCAGTTAGCTCAGCAGTGACTTCTGGCTCAATGCCTACTTACTGGGCAGCTGCTGCTGCTACAATGATAGGCGACTGTTCCCCTGTCAATTAGGAAGCAACTGAATGACATCCTCACCTACACGGGCCCCTGTCACAATGCCCCCTTGCACTGGAGATCACTCATACAAAGTGGGGGGGGGGGGGAGAGGGGGGATGTCAGCCAGTTCATTCCCATTTGACAGGGGAACAGAGCCTCATTGATCACAGAAGCTGCTGCCCAATAAGTGGGAGTAGGGAAACGATCATAGTCCCTTTGTATCTACAAAACAAGGGGATGCCTAGGGTTTGTGCATACAAACCAGTCACAAATGGATAACGCTAGGTTATGCATTGCAAACTGTGGTAGTAAATTCTGGTCTAAGTCACTCCTGATTGGGACTAGCAGTAGAATCTTGATCTGTTGAATTTCTCCATGATTTCAGATACTTTACAGACAGTTCGCCCCATGTTGAACCATAACTTCTTTGAGAAAGGCAATGAAAAGTGCTTGTTCTACTGATCCTAGCTTTTTTTTTTGCTGGGATTTATAGTTCACCTACAATCAAAGAGCATTCTGTTTTCTTTTTTAAATTTTTTTTATATATTTTTTTATAATATTTTTTATTAAAGTTTTTGATAGCAGTACATCGACAGGTGTTTAATCATTGGACTACTAAATCTATATAAAATTTGGACTGGGTTGGGTTAGGAGGGTAGGGTRGGGGGGGGAYGRGGGTRGGGGGGGAGTTTCTAATGGCCGGGGTAAGGGGAGAGGGGTGTAGCGGAACGGTGAGGGTGTCTTCTATCCTAACTTATCGGGAAAGGGTGGGGGGGGAAGAGGTAAGGAGTGTGGGTGTTATTGGAAGTGGGACGTGAAGTATGTTAGTGTACTTTATGGTATACCTCAGATTATCATTTCCCCCCATTAGTTGGTTAGTATTCGTGCATTCTTTCTACTTGTTTCTTCATTCTTCTTGTTTTCTCTCTCTTTCTTCATTCCTGTCTTGTTGTCTTCCCATCTAAGTAGTTCCTTATTGGAGACCAATCCGTAGTTTTTCTTCTTATCGTCTGTTTGGATGTCAGGTGCTGTGTCAAACTGTCCATGTTCATTATATCCATCAGCTTAAGTCTCCATTCATCTATCGTTGGGATGTCCTCATTTTTCCACTTACTTGCCAACACTAATCTCGCGGCGGTCGCCATATGGAAAAAGAGTTTATTTTTATTCTCCTCTATTTCGAAGTCTATGATTCCAAGTAAATAATATTGTGCTTTTTCCTCCATTCTTATTTCTAGTATTTCCTTCACGATGTCATGTAGTTTCTTCCAAAAAATTTTTACTTTCTTACAAGTCCACCAAAGATGGAAAAAGGTGCCTTTGTTGTCTTTGCATTTCCAACATTTTTCTGTTGTGTTTTTATAATATTTTGCCAGTTTACTTGGTGTTAGATACCACTGGTATAGCATTTTGATCCAATTTTCCCTTAGACTATATGAATTGATCCATTTCAGTTTTTTCTTCCAAGTATTTTCCCATGCCGATGTTGGAATTGAGTAGCCTAGGTTGTCCGTCCATTTTACAATGTAACTGTTTATTCCATTTTTTTCTGTTTTCCATTTTAGAAGAATTTTATATAGCTTCGTTACTCCTTTCTTTCCTGATATCATGATACTTTCCCATTGTACTTCATTGGTTTCGAATCCTCTCTTCTTATCTCTATTGAATGCCTCATTAAGCTGTCGGTGCTGAAACCAAGACAATTCTTCGTATGTTTCTCTAATTTCTTCTAATGTTTTTAGTTTGAATCCTTCTCTGTCTTTCTTTAAGATTTCTTTATATTTGGGCCATTTTTCCCATCCCAGTTCTCTTCTTTGGGAGGCCTCTAACGGAGATATCCATTGAGGAGTTTTTTGGTAGAATTTATTTTTGTATTTTTCCCAAATTCTAAGTATTGATGACCTAATGAAGTGGTTTCCAAAATTCTTTTCGATCTTCTTTTTGTCATACCATAGGTATGCATGCCACCCACTTCGTAGGTCATGCCCTTCCAATGCTAGTGTTTTAGGTTTGTTAATATTGGCCCATTCTCTGGCCCAATATAGTCCACATGCATCATGATATAGCTGAAAATCGGGAAGTCCTAATCCGCCTCTTTCTTTGTCATCAATTAAGCTTGTGAATCTTATTCTTGGTTTCTTTCCTCTCCATACAAATTTTGAGATTTCTTTATTCCATCTTTTGATCACTTGGGCGTTTCTAATTATTGGTATTACTTGGAAGAAAAACAAGATTTTGGGCAAGATTGTCATTTTGATAGCGGAAATTCTTCCTAATAGGGACAGATTTAAGTGTTTCCAATTTTCCAGTTTCTGACTAATTTCTTTCCACTTTGCTTCATAATTGTTTTTCAGTAGGTGGGAGTTTTTAGCCGTTAAGGTTACGCCGAGGTATTTTATCTTGTCCGTTACTTGAATCCCACTTTTGTCTTCCAATATTTTTTGTCGCTCTTTGGTTATATT